TGTGATAAATATGGCAACAAAGATTTGGACAATAGTCTGAATAATGTAAATAGTGTAAAAAAATTCAGAATTAGGAATTAACAATAGCATTATTGTTTATTCCTTATAGGGATGTAAAGGCCGATTATCTGCCTTTATTTGAGATGGAGGCACAAGTCATGTTGATAGTGTGTCAAATATCAGTTGTTTATCACACTCGGAGACAAGACATGTCAGTCCATACCAGTTGCTATGTTGCAAACAGAGAAACATAGTTAAGAATGCAGAGAAAACCACATGGTCTCACTTTACACATGGAGGACACCACCAGCCTGCTTGCTTATACATGTTATAATCTCTGCATCGGACAAATCAGTAACAGGTATGTATGTGTATATATATATATATATCGGTATATATATAAAAAAAATCTTGGAAAACATGGACCTTTTTTTTTTAAAAAAAAAAAAAATATGTTACCACCCATTTACACAATTCCTTGAAATTTCAAGAAATTAAAGTTTTAAGAGGGGGATTTTTTTTTTTCGTTAGTTAAAAACAGTACTCTTTGGAGAAAGTAAATCATAAATTTTTTTGTAAAACAGTTACCATCTTCATCGAAAATCTGCTCTGAATTGTAAAATAAAAAATGCAATAAGACTATGACATTAAAAAAGCTTTTAATTGCTTTTGTAAATAAGTTATATTAAGAACATTGTCTAAAGAAATAAAATTTTTTTGATGAATAATGAATTTTTACAAGAATTTTTCAGTTTTTAAAAATTATAATAATATAATAGTTCAAAAATCATTTAAAATTCTTCATTGCTTTCAAGACAGCAGTTTAATAATATCGTTAACTGCAAAGTAAATTTACGAATCGAAATTTGAAAAGCTCATCACAGCTGTTTGAACCTGAATATTTTTAAAATAATTTTAAAAATGATTTTTAGTGAAGAAATATTCCTAATTTCTACCTATGGGAACCTATAGATGACATAATGCTTAAAAGGGTCATGTGATTTAAATGTCTGACACACTGCAATTATTTAACTTTTAATTCAGTTCTGTTTCATCATTAACGTCTTTGCAAATCATCCCTTCAAAATATCAAAAAAAGTTTCACTTTTCTTAATTGCTATTTCACTAAATATTTTTATTTTATGTATTTATTTAGTTTGGGTCATACTTCAATTAATCAATTTTTTGTTTAAGGTAGCAAACTTAAAAATGTAAAAACGAAATGCAAATTTCATGAAGCTTCTTAAAAACTTAACTAAAAGTCAATAAAATATTAAATAATTGCTGAAAATATGTTAATTTGTAAAAATTACCAGGTAGTTAAAAACTAAAAATAAAAAATAGATTCATTTAGATTTCGTAAATTTATGTAATTTCTGGTTACCCATAAGAGCTGTCATCACTAAGTCTGTCTCTATAAATCAATAAAGATCAAAAAAAGAGGAACCCATCGTTAAGAAATGTTTGTATATTGGTTTTTTATCCTATAAATAAATAATATTTATTTTAGATCAGATTAATTTAACTTTAAATTTTCTAATTTTACTCAAATAATGTGTCACAATTCTAGAATTTAATTTTTAAAGATTTCAAAACCTGATAAGTGTGTTTGCTTACAAATTTCTTAAAAATTAAGAAAAAGGCTGCTTTAAAGAAAATTAAAAAAAAAAAAAAAAAAAAAAAAATTGAGCAATCATTTGACATTCCAGTCTATATAATTTCTATCTGAAATACACCAGAATATTTTACTTACTTGAAATAATAAATATAATCATTTAGCTTTCAATTAAAACTAGAATGAAATCTTCAAGAATGCTTTTCAATTTTTAAAATTTAATTTCAAAACTTAGGTATCGAAAATTCAGTGGAGGTGCCTACTTTCTTATACGCAATGATAGTTTGTTTTTTATATAAGCAAAAATTATGGATTACTCACATAGATTATGTAACCAACACAATTGGAAAATGATTTAAATATGGCCGTCATATTTTGACAGTACAAGTTGTATTAGCTTTCTTCAAATATTTTACTTTTAATGATTTAAAAAGCAGAATTCTTTTTTTTATATATATCTACAATAGAATTAATTGTAAAGATAAAATCATAGATTACGCTTGTAGAAAATATAACCAATCCAATTGCAAAATTATTTAAATATTTCTATAATTTTTTGATGATACAGGTTGAATGAATAAAAGATTAAATACCATTAATTTTTTTTCTTCCAATTCTTGGGCCGTCAAAAACGGTTCTTTTAAGTCTTTATCTTCTTGTGGCAGTTTGCTTTCTTTAAGTTTCTTAATTTCCCTGTCTGTCTTTCCCTGAGCAAGAATAACCTTTTTTGATGACACAGTTTTCTTGCTTAAAATGTTTGAAAGGACATTGGCAAATCCTTTACGTGTTGTGACCTCCTCCTCCTCCTCTTCTTCTTTTTCACTCTCATTATCATCATCATCATCATCTTCACTCTCTGTGTCATCTTCGGAGTCTGTGGCTTTCTCTAGTTTTGACATCTTTCTTTTCTTCTTTCTGGGTTGGTCAGTCATAGTGTTATCGTCATCTTCCTCATTGTCACCTTCACTGCTGGCGTCATTCGCAACATCATCATCATCAACATAATCATCATCATCATCATCACTGCCAGAGTTAGCAAATCTTTCAAGCTTTGGACTTTTAAATTTTTTTCTCTTGTGGGTCTGTTTTGTTGTTGCTATTTCTTCATTTTCTGAATTTTCTGTCTCAGAATCATCACTGTCGTTATCCTCCACACTGCTATCATTGTCATCATCATCATCATCATTGTAATGATATTCAATTTCTAAAGAAGAAACAGAAAAATATTATCAATTAAAATGTATTTTTAAACAATAAAAATAACATATGTGAAGTGAATAAAATCCAAAGATACATCATGAATAAATAAAATCCAAAGATACATCTTACTTATTATAAAACGCAGATTGTGTGTGTGTGTGTGTGTCTGTACGTTTATATATTGGATCGGATTTCCTACATTTTTCAACTGATTTCAACAAAACTTCTCAGGACTGCGTAAAATTAGATTGCGGTGGTTCTGACAGCGCCAAAAATTGGAAAAACACAATTGTTTTTGGACAAAATCAATTTGAAAACACGATAAAACACAATTCTGTCACCAGAATGAAAGGGGGACAACTTATATCGAATTATACTTATTATAAAACCCAGGTTGTTTGTGTGTGAGTGTGTGTTCATTTATATATGGGATCGGATTTCCTACATTTTACAACCGATTTCAACAAAACTTCACTTTTTTTTGGCAGGTAGTGTTTCTTATTGTTTGCACACTTTTTTCTTTATTTTTACATTCAGAATGCTTTAAAAATTCTATTTACAAGAAAATTGTTTATAATAAAATTCTATTCAATCGGTAGACTCATCACGATTGAAAACAATGATTTTGTTTGAGTTTGGGTTTGACCAATTCGTAAAAAAAAAAAAAAAAAACTAATTAAGACATGCGTGTCCGTCAACCTTAAACAATAATCTTTGTCAATTTTATTTTTCAGTCTTTATGATGGTCGATACTTGATCTATCTCTTACTGTTACATCCCCGGGCAATGCCAGGCTCTCCTGCTAGTCATGAATAAATAAAATCCAAAGATACATCATGAATAAATAAAATCCATATATCAGAAATAAACAAAATCCAAAAATATATCATGAATAAATAGACCCTATTATTTTATTCAGCTTCAACATTTGACACATTCCTTGACAATTAATTTACAAAGATGAAATTTGATTGTTTTCCACAGTTTATCAGCTCTTTGTGAGTTATTTAAAGCCAAAACATATTTTTGATTGTAAGAATAATTCTTTATTCTTGTGAGTGAATATCATTTTAACAATTTTTGAGAATAACAATGAGATTTATATTGAAACATGACTAAAAAACAGTTATTCAATGTCATCATACTCAAACTGGCACAAGGTTTGTTTAAACAGGAATTTATATATCTTGTCAAATATATTCTCAAATGTGTCTATTGCCACTAATTACGATGGCATTTAGGAGGAGACTTTACCACTCTTCAAAGTATTTGTTACTGTATTTCTTTGATTAAGCACTCTTTCCATCAAAGAGTAAGCTTTGAATAAGCAGCAACATCCCATAATAGGTTTCCATGAACCTCTTTTTGTAAATTTTATTTCAGATTTAAAATAACACAATAGAAATCCTCACCTCTTGTTTGTTTATTTTGTTCTGTCTTTTCACAATATAAAATGAAAATTGACCTTTCTTGTTCATTTGGCGCTAATAGTAAAAATAATTTTATTTATCCTAATATCTTTTCAAAGATTCATTAAACTTTTTTTTTTTAAATTCAGAGAATGTTCCCATTATTGGTTTGGGGCTACAATCATTTGTCAGTGTGTGTGTGTGTATCTGTCATAATCATTTGTTATAAGAGTTTAGGAATCATATTTTGAAGGTAAAAAAATGATATGCCATTCTTGTTTGAACATGTATTGTAATTTGATAATTTGTTTGGTTTGTTTTACGGCACATCAACACCTCAATAGGTTATTTGGTGCCGACAAAATTTTTATTGCTGCTAATATTTTTTATCTATCTATCTCAGTATATATTGGTTTGGTTTATGGTACATCAACCTCAATGGCTTATTTGATGCCAACAGGATTTTTATTGCTGCTAATTTTTTTTATCTATCTCAGTATATATTGGTTTGGTTTATGGTACATCAACCTCAATGGGTTATTTGATGCCAACAAGATTTTTATTGCTTCTAATTTTTTTTTTTTTTTTTTCAAAAATGTATTGTTGGTAATAATTTTCTACAAAAAAGTATTGCTTGTATTAAAACCTAAAAATAGGTTTTTAATACAAGCAATACACACTTTCATAGGGTTTTGACCGTTTCAGGGTTAACTATTTGCCCACAGTTGGGACCCTAACAGGTGCTACCATCCTAGGTCAGGGTGGACCTGGGAACAACAGCAATTAAGAGGTGGTTCCATGCTCCTCAAAACCTCTTGATAAGAGGCCTTTCTGCCAAATGTAGTTTATTGTCATACCCAGGACACTTTATAATCTGTAAAGGATAAACAGAATCATTGGAAAGTTTTATAAGTGTCCCAAAAGCTTTGTACGTGAGCGATGATTGTTCTTTTTGTTAATAAGTGACCCTTCCCCTTCCCCCTGAGGGGAGCCTATTCAAAGCCCAATTTCTAAATAAGCACCCATTTGATGAAAATATGGTACAGATGCAGAAAGTTTGGCACTGACAAATAGAAAGCAATACTTTAACACTTATAAGTGACCAAGTTGATTCACATGTGAGGGACTTTTCAATAAGCTCCCCTGCTAAAGGGCCCGATTTCCAAATAAGTGTCCCAAGTGCTTCATCAAGAAAAGACACGAATTACAGAATGTTGCTAGTTTTCAAAAAACTTATTTTGTGATATGAAACCAAGTAAAATTCATTTAAAATTACCTGATTCAGATTCCGAGTCATATTCTTGGACTTTGCTTTTCTTTTCAACCTGTTTTTTGATCACCATCTTGACTGAAATATATATGACAGAATTTACGTAAAACAAAATAAAAAAAAAACACATTGTTAGTATTCCCTTAATCTTTTTAGTACAAATCTCTCATTCAAATATTTTTCAAACCTAAAACTACAACAAATACCTTACTACTTCCTTTAAATATTTAGATTAAAATAATTTGAATTAAATTCATTTAATAAACATCTTTCCACTTTAAAGGAAACATAAAAGAACATGTACTGGTTAGGCTCTTAAGACAAAAGAATATATATATATATATATATATATATATATATATATATATATATAGTGTGTGTGTGTGTGTGTGTGTGTGTGAAATTGGGTAGATGGAACTCTTGAGGGCTGTTGATAGCTGTGCTAACACAAAGCCACAAGTCATCATGGCCCAAATAACAACACTTGTCATTGCTTTTTGATACAACTTAAGTGTGCAGTAATTTAGAGGAGTAAAATCAGTTAAAAGCAGTAAAAAGGCCATTAATTACGTTTCCGCACACAAAATGTTTTGCAGTGAATAAAGTTAAACAGGGCCCATAATGGCAGACAAATGAACGCGACTGAGTCCGAATTTTTATTATTGATAACTACAAAACAGTAGAATTTATTAAAATGTGGTCGTTATCAAGTCCAGCATGTGCATTTACACGGAAATATGGCAATTTGGGAAATTTTTAATAGATTTTCTGTGCAGGGCTTAAAAAGCAAATTTATCCTCGAATTCAGAGTTAAGCTCGTTAGATTCAAACATTCAAATCCTCTTGGAAAAGGCATGAATCCACTCCTCCCCAGTTAAGAAGACAGACTGTTTTATAGCCTCGGGTGGAAACTACTCTAGAAAAAGGAAAACTCTGAATTCAAAACCTCCAATTAAGGGCTACTGTCTCACCAAACTGCCAAATTGACATGGTTAGTCGGGGAGGGATTCCTCCAACCAAGGAGTAAGAATGATCTGGATCTGACAGCTATTATCCCTGGTACCATTTGTAGCATTTTTTTTTTCCATGTTTATTGATGCCTCTTCTTTTCCTTGATCTAAGTACAAGCGTGGGATATCTTTTTTCTTAAAAAAAAAAAAAAACTCGAAAAAAAAAAAAAAAATAAAAATCGGTTTGGACTCGATAACAAAATGATCGATTTTTGCACAATCAAAAAAAATATTTAAGCTATTGATAGGTTTTCAAAATAAAAATCCTTTTTTGTTTCTTTTTTTTTTTTTCATACTGATGTCTATAAAATAAATTTCTTTTTTTTTCTTTTACACATTACATTTCTTTACGATAGTGCGTAGTGATTTTCTGCAAGGAAAGTCTGTAAAAGAAGTAAATAGGCCAAATCTTCTTATTACGCCTGCGTAGGTACTACGCAGTAAATTAGTAAACATGATAACAGTAATGGGGGACGAATGACCAACAAAAAGTCCGATTTTTTTCTTGTCCATAACTCCAAAATGGTATGGTTTCTTCATAATTTAATTGTTAATTCGAGTCCAGCATGTACATTTGCACGGAATTATGACGATTTTGAAAAATTTTAAGGGAGATTTTGCGCTAAGGAAACAAAACCAAAATTTATCATTTCTAACGCGTAGACGTTGCCCTTTTTTCTTTTTTTTTTTAACTAACGGGGGAAAAATAGGAATTGGAATTTCAATTAACATCCAAAACAAATATGAATGAAGTAGTTAGTTAGTAGTTTAACTCAATTTTTCAGAATGATATTTCTTTCCTTCATGTCCACACGACACAAGCATCGATCATTTATTTCTTTTACAAACAAAACAAAAAGGTAAATTCTAAAGAGAAAAAAGTCACAGGCAAAAATATTATGCATACTAACAATAAAATGAAATCAGAAATTGGTCATTGCGGGGGGAAACCAATCTCTAATTTTTATTTTAACGATACAGGCTTGTCAATTGAATAAACTCAAGAAGTCGTTTAATATTTAAAGGAAAGCGAAAAACGACAGAAATGTTTGCATTCTTGTACCGATTTAAAACAAACTCTAAACGACATAGATAACAAATAAAATTGTCAATAAATAAATAAAATAAAACCAACTTACTTTTTAAGGGAAATCTGTCTCTTCCATGCAACTGAAAACACGTGGGTATTTAGTCAGCGGTGTAACATGAAAAGAGTTCCTCTTCACATCAACTTCCGGTGAATTTCAAATCGGTAAACTGAAACCAAAACCGACGTAAAAAAATAAATATCTTTTTTTGGTGCGTGATTTAATTGTGCTAAACATAAAAACAGGTTTTAATAGTTGAATTTAAATTTAATAATAATTATTGAAAAAAAGAAGGACATAGGATCTTTTCTGTTAATTCACCCCAAAAAGTTACTTCCCAAGAAATTATAAGTTTTAAAAATCAAAGTTTGTTTTTTTTTAGTTTTTTTTTTTTTTTTTTTTTACTAAATTTTTGGCACTTTTGAAATTATAAATTTTAAATCAAACAAAATTTGTTTATCTTGCCTCGCAAAAACTCTCAGAAAGAAAAAAAATAAATACCAAAAATCTGGGAGTTATTCAAATTTCGTAAGTGCAGATGGTATTCGAGGTACTTACAAGGAATTTGGTACAATTTAAAAAAAATATCTGTTTTTGGCTTGTTTATCGGGGTGAGCGCGAATGTTAGAGCCCACACTTAGAAATAGCGCACCCAAGTCGCCCACATTTGGGTACGATCGCAAAGGTTAACCCAACCGGAGTGCAATGGAAGGGCCTCACTCTGGGAGAATTTGGTGTGGATTTTATTTTTTTTAGTAAATATAAATTCTTTTTTTTTTCTTTTTTTTTTTTACTTTGGAGTGAATTAACAAACATAAAAGATCCAGAACATAATTTCTTTTACAATTTGTATCAATTTTAAAATGACTTTGGGGTGGCTTTTCCTCTTTAAAGTTCATCCAATACAAGCCTCGAGAACCATTCAAGGTAGAGATTTACTGTCAAAAAGCAAAATGTTTATGGTAAATGAGGTGCGTGATACGAATGAAAGAGGAGGTTATAGAAAGTGACGATTATGATGATAACGAGGATAGTGTTGGGGAAAGTTTCCTTGGGTCACCGTTTGAATAAAAAAAAATAAGAGAAAAGGTTGTTGCATGTTCAAATAAAATTATATTTATTTAAACGTAGGATACACAAATTTTAACTGTAATTACTTATCATGAAATAAAAGTTAAAAAGTTATTTTCTTTGATTGTAAGAAAATGAACATGAATAGTCTTTTTTCAGTGAAGAAAAGAGAAAATGGAGTTGGGCGAAAAGATCAAAGTGTATCCACTGTTGCAGTGGTGAGAAAGACAAGACGTCAAGGTTGACTTGTACAGGACCGTGTGGGTTTGAGGTGTTGTTGTTGAATTGGGAAACACGTACTGTTCATTCCTGCTAAAAGAAGGTCCAACTACAAGAAAATGGCGGACTCAAATTGAGTCCAACTAAAGATGTAGAGAAGACAAACAAGACCACACACACACACACACACACACACACACACACACACACACACACACATATATATATATATGTAAGCAAATATATGGATATAGATCCGACAGTATGAAGAAAAATACAGAAAAAAAGATTTTTGTTTGTTTTTTCTGTATTTTTCTTCATACTGTCGGATCTATATCCATATATTTGCTTACATACTGTCTACTGGAAATACAAACCTGAATTTACTTTATAACATGGAATACTTCAAGCTTGGACGAGAATATAAGAATCTATTGATCAAGTAAGGAAAGGATTTATTATCGAACTGTTTTTTAGAACTGTTCCATCGTTTTTTGAAATCATTTTTGATTTGCTTTGTAACGTGAAGGACTTCAAGCTAGTATGAAGATATAAGAACCTATTGATCTCTACGTATTCCTATATCAACGGAAGGGATTTCTTGAACTGTTTATATGAAATAGTTCAATCGACTTTTTTAATATTTTAATATTTGGAAATCATATTCGAATACGTTTTCACAACATCGCCCACGTGACGACGACGTGATCATATTTAAACTGAACGCTGATCTTATATAAAAATTTCAGTTATCTGTTTGGATTAGTTGTGCTCTTATGTCCATCGTCTTTTGTGTTAAATTTTTATATGTTCTAATGTTAATTATGTTTAAATGAAAATGTCCATGAAGATGGTCTTAAATAGACCGAAACGTCCGACGTCGACTTTATATTAACATTTAATACAGCATAATTGCATATTAAGATTTTTGTTTGTTTTTTCTGTATTTTTCTTCACACACACACACACACACATATATATATTAACAAATATATGTATTAAACAACAAATTTACAAGTGACAAAGACATTAACATTTTTGTTTGTGTGTGAACGTTTGTATTTTGATGAATGTTTGTACGTACGTGTATGTGTGCATAATGTTCACGGCGTCTTCCCACAAGTGGGGAGACGCTATCATCTAAGAAAACTTACATTGTAGATGTGTTCGCTTAAAGAAGAAATGAAAAAGCTTATTTATTTCTGAAATTCCAGAAAATGTGGCACAAGGCCGAAATGCGGAAGAGGTCGGTCTTCTGTCTTAACTTTAAACTTAGCTAGCCACAAACGCTGACCCAATCATACTAACAATATTCCTTGCACCAAGACAACACATTCTTACGTCCTTTCTCACCACATCCACCATAATACCTCACTGTCTCCATTTTAATACTAAATAGTCCCCATATATACAATTTATCGTCTGTGGTGGGAGGGAAATAAAAACAACAATATTAAAAATGAAAAAGGATATTTATTCCTGAATAAAACAGAAAATGTGGCACAAGGCCGAAATGGGGAAGAGGTCGGTCTTCTGTCTTAACTTTAAACCTAGCTAGCCACAAACGCTGACCCAATCATACTTACAATATTCTTTGCACCAAAACAAAGCATTCTTACTTACCTTTCACACCACACCCACCATAATACCTTATATTGTCTCAATGAGAATATTAACTAATCCCCATATGTACAATATATCGTCTGTGGTGGGGAGGGGAATAAAACAACAATTTTAAAAAAATTAAAAACTAACCCCAGCGAGTATTTACAGTATAGAATAATAATATTTACAAGAAATGAAAAAGAGAAAGAGGCAAGGAGTTGCCCAGTATTTATAGTGTAGGGAGAGCGCCCCTAGTGAACAATTAGTAAATTAAGGAGGAGCTAACTCCGACAGACTCGTGTCTCTTCACTGCTGTCAGTCCTTCTCTCGAGTTGAATGAATGTTTCAGTTTTATAGTTATGGTGTTGGAGGGGGGAGTGTATTCGTTGTTACTTGTTGCTTTTATCAGAAGGTAGGTAGTAGTAGCAGTCCTTCGGGACAGCCGCTAGTTTGGCCTAAAGGTTCAACAAGCAATCAATTTGAGGTCACCATACATAAACAAAATAACATACGAAAGAGAAGGGTATATCAGAACAATTTGTATTAAAATACAACATCAATGAATAGTACAATTTTTCTTGATTCACACGCACAAAAGTCCGTTATAAAAATGTTCATTCGTATAAGAGAAATTGGATTATTAAAGGAATATAAGAGTCACTTTGTTAATACTTAAGTTTAAGGCGTGCTGGTCACAGGAGATGAAAGGTGAGGTCAATGGGTTGGTAGGAGTCATTCGGTATCTCCGGTGGTGAAGGAAGGCTGGAGGCGTCGAGTTTGATGGGAGAGGAAAGCGTAGCGACATTCTCTGACGGTACTTCAAAGCTTTCTCTACACAGAAGTGAATTTGTCGCTCTATTTATTTGTGCCCATCGGCTCAGAGTCAGTCTGCTGAAGCAAACTGTTGGGTATGGCGCGGAGCCGTTTTATTGGTGGAAATTGCTTATTATTCTTTTTATTTCTTTTTATTTTCCACCGGAAATTTTGCGTGGAGCCGGGTGCGTAAAGACCAGTATTGGTCATTTGCTATTTAGACCTCTGAGGGTTAACATCCGGTCCTTCGCTTGCTCCGTGCCACCACATAGTCTTGTGTAAGCTCCAGAATCCTGTGTTTATTTGCTGACGAGAACTGATTTTATTGGTTATTTATTTTTATTAAATTGAAAATTTGAAGTATGTTTGAAACCCGGAAGTCTGCGCGGAGCTCTTGCGCGGTGTGTTTAATTTTATCATTTGCTCCTTTGATTTGATGTTCTTCATTTCCGCCTACTCTACAAACTCCTGTGTTGGGTTTCATTTTGTTCCAACTTGTTGGGTCTAAGATAGTTCAGTATGGCTAGTCCATTTTCCTGTGGTTTCGTTTCTACATAGTTTAATCCAGAAGGACTAGTTTCGTTTCCGCCTCTTTGCTTGGAAGTACACAGATAAGAAAGAGATAAATTGTGGTGTGGCCAACTTGTTACTGGATGTGTCGAATATCCACTCACCAGATTTTAAAAAATGAAACAACTTGTTGGAGAAAGATTCTTTGCTTCACCGTTTGAATAAAACAAATGAGGAAAAAGATTGTTGCGTATTCAAATAAAATTATATTTATCTAAACGTAGGATACACAAATTTTAGCTGTAATTACTTATCATGAAATGAAAGTTAGAAAGTTCTTCTCTTTGTAAAGAGATGAACATGAATAGTCTTTCAGTGAGGAAGTGAGAAAGTGGAGTTGAGCGACAAGACCAAAGTGTATCCACTGTTGCTGTGATGAGAAAGACAAGACGTCGAGGTTGACTCGTGTCTCTTTACTGCTGTCAGTCCTTCTGTCGAGTTGAATGAATGTTTTGTTTTTATAGTCATGTCTAAGCTCCAGAATCCTGTGTTTGTTTACTGGTGGGAACTGATGTTATTGGCTATTTATTTTTTATTAAATTGAAAATTTGAAGTATGTTTGAAACCCGGAAGTCTGCGTGGAGCCCTTGTGCGTTGTGTTTAATCTTGTTATTTGCTCCTTTGATTTGA